AGGTCATGTAGATTTACCCTTATGTTTTTTCTAAGAGTTTTATGATTTAGCTCATATTTTGGTCATTGATTTATTTTGATTAATTGTGATAGGAAGGAGTCCAAATTAGCTTTTTTTTTTTTTTTTTACACGTGGAAATTCAGTTTTCCCAACATCATTTGTTAAAGAGACTATTCTTGACACTTTTGTCAAAAATCAATTGGCCATAGATTTATGGATTTATTACTAGACTCTTAGTTCTGTTCCATTGGTCTATATGTCTCTCCTTCTGCCAGTACCACTCTGTTCTGATTACTGTAGCTTTTAGTAAGTTTTGAAATGAGAAGTGTGAGTCCTTTGATTTTTTTTTTTTTTTTTTCAAGATTATTTTGGAATTCCATATGAATTTGAAGATCAGTTTTTCTATTTCTGCAAATTCCATATGAATTTGAAGATCAGTTTTTCTATTTATGGAGTTTTGATAGGGATTATGTTGAATCTGTAGATCACTTTGGGTACTATTAATATCTTAATAACATGAAGTCTTCCTGTCTATGATCAAGAAATATCTTTCCACTGATTTAATTTCTTTCAGCAATATACAAGTCCTTCGCCTCCTTGTTAAATTTATTCCTAAATATTTTATGCCTTTGGATGCTGTTGTAAATGGAATTATTATTGTAATTTCTTTTTTAGATTATGGAGAAACAACTGATTTTTGTATGTTGGTGTTATACCCTGAAACATTGCTTAATTTGCTTATTAGCTCTAGTAGTGGTTAACGTGTTTGTTTGTGTGTATGTGTATTCTTTGGGAATATATATGTATATATATATAATATAATATATAATTATAAGTTATATTTTATACAGTATGTAATTGCAATTACATGTATATTTTTCATACATATATAATTATAAGTTATAATATATAATTCTTTTGTTGTATTATACTATTATATATAATAGATATGTAATCCTAAAGAATCTGTCTATAATCATATCATCTATGAAGAGAGAGCGTTTTGTTTCTGCCTTTTCTTTCTTTTTCTTGCCTAATTGATCAAGTTATAATTTCTACTACAATGCTGAGTAGCTGTGGTGAAAATGGCATCCTTGCCTTGCTCCTGATTTTCAGAGGAAAGTTTTCAGGACTTCACCAATGAGTGTGATGTTAGCTGTGAGTTTTTCATAAATGTATTTTATGTTGAGAAATTTCACTTGTGTTCCTAGTTTTCTAAGTGTTTTTACTATGAAATGGTATTGGAGTTTGTCAAAATGCCTTTTCAGTTTGGTTGTGATCCTGTGGTTTTTCTCCTTGTTCTATTAATGTGGTATGTTGCATAGATTTTCTACTGTTGAACCACTCTTCCATTCCTGAAATAAATCTCACTTGGTCATGGTGTATAATCCTTTTAATTTGCTATTGGATTTGGTTTGCTTGTATTTTGTTGAGGATTTATGCATCTACCAACTACCCAAACTGCCACCCACGGCTACTGAAATCCTTGTGGTCTTTAGAGCTACTGGTTCTCTTCAGTCCTTGTGCAAATGACATTGTTGACCATTACTTCCCTTGATATTAATTATTGCTGACTCCTTAATCCCTGAAATATTTTTTCTTCTTCATTTCTGAAGCCATATTCCCTCCTGGTTTTTCTCTCATTTTTAAGTACTCCATCTCCATTGAAGATTCTCCTTATGATCATCCTTTGAGAGTTAGTGTTTCTCAGGAAGCCTTTGGAAGATCTGAGTGTCCCAGTCCATTCAAACTTCAGTGATTCTTTATATGCCAGGAACTCCCAAGGCAGTGTCTTTAAATAAGGCCACTCCTCTGATCTACATTTGCAGCTGTCTTCTGAACAACTCCTCTGGAATGTCCTACAGGTATTGCAGTACCTGACAGGACTCACAGGACTTTCATGTTCTGGCTTCTGTTTACCTTCACAGAGACTAGCAAAGTTGTTCTGTGACATTTGCATCTTAAAGAAAGAGGTATGTCTGTGCTTGAGCAAATTCCTTAGCTACTCTTGTCTCTCTTTTGCCTCATTTCTAAAGCAGGATGATACTATGTGGTATGAAGATTAATGATAATGTATATGAAAGTCTTTTTTCATTTTATTTTAATTTTTATTGTATTTATTTTTTTATTGTTGAAAGAGTTACAGATGTGCTCCCTTTTCCCCCATTGACCCACTCCTTCCAGCCCCCCCCCCCCTTCCCCAGCCTAATGTCCCTGTCGGATTGGTTGTGCATATATGCATATAAATTCTTTGGTTTATCTCTTTCAACCCCTCTCACCCCTCCCACCCCCGATCCCTCTGATATGTGAAGGTCTTGACCCATATTAACTTCTAAATAAACTGCAGCTATTATATAATACTATTGGTCAGACATGAGACGATAACATACAAGGGAATGGACAATAATACTAAGTTGTCCATTGTCTCTGCTGACATTGACTTGTACTTCCATCTGTTTCTGTTCTGGGTTGGGACCTGAGTAGCAAATATCAGAGGAAGATTGGAGTATTGCTCTGATAATCCTACTGGGTCCAATATGGGGATTTATCACTATTATAAGATATTTTTATTGTTTTAATAACTAACCCCCTTTTGGTTAATGATCCAAAATTGGATGTTATTCTGCTATAGAGAAAACTGTATATTTATTAGTGTATTTTAAACTCACTGCTGGCCTTAAGGTGCCATCTACTGATTTTTATTTAAATTCTGTGGTTTTCCATCCCCTCTGTCTGTATGCTTCAAATCTTGGCTTTACCATTCATGAAACAGAATGGAAAATATATCCATTAAGAATCAGTTTAGAATTCGTTAAAAGAAAAAGCTTGGAAGTGCTTATAAAAATTTCTTTTTTTTAATTGATTTTAGAGGGGAAGGGAGAGGGAGAGCGAGATAGAAACATCAATGAGAGAGAACATTGATTGGCCGCCTCCGTGAACATCGCATGTCCCCCATTGGGGATAGGGCCCACAACCTGGACACGTGCCCTGACCGGGAATTGAACTGGTGACCTCTTGGTACATGGGTCGACGCTCAACCACTGAGCCACACTGGCTGGTCTGGAAGTGCTTTTTTTTTTTCATCCTCACCCGAGGACATTTTTCCATTTTTTGTTCAGGTAGAGTGGGGGGGAGAGAGAGGAACAGAGAGAGAGAGAAACATCGATGTGAAAGGGACACATCGAGTGGCTGCCACCCGCACAACCGACCAGGGCCGGGGACAAACTGCAACCGAGGTACGTGCCCTTAGCGGGAACCAAACCCGGGTCTCTCAGGACCGCAGGCCGACGCTCTAACCGCTGAGCCAAACTGGCCAGGGCTGGAAGTGCTTTTTAACAGTGCTTTATAATTGTTAAAAAACAAAATTCATCCAAGTATATTTGAAGATCTAATTGGTTTTCATCAAGCAACTCATAATTGGGCAGTATCCCACCTAGCAACTAGAAGGGTGCTCCCAGGAGTAGTACAAAATGGAAGGTGTTTAAAGGAAGCTGGGTAGGTCAGGGAGCTTTATTTATTTATTTATTTATTTATTTATTTATTTATTTAATCACCCGAGGACATCTTTGCATATATCTTCAGACAGAGCAGGAGGGAGAGAGAGAGAGAAACATCGATGTAAGAGAGACACATCGGGTGGTTTCCACCCACACAACCCTAACAGGGGCTGGGGACAAACTGCAACTGAGGTACGTGCCCTTAGCGGGAACTGAACCCGGGACTCTCTGGTCCGCAGGCTGACGCTCTAACTGCTGAGCCAAACCAGCCAGGGCTAGGAACTCTTAATGAAAGAAAAGAGGGGGTTATTTTGGGGTCAGGACAGTTTCTTTGTGGGGAAAGAGAATTGGGAAGGATTTTTATGCAGATTGCTTTTTCTTTCTAGGGGAGAGGGATGTAGAGAATCCACTGACAGATTACCTCATTGGGGCTTGACCAAAAAATCCCATACTGGTTGATTAAGATTATGTTTCTGGGAGAGTTTGAAACTGTAATTGGATCAGGTATTAAGTCTGGGTCTGGTGGGCTTTTAGCACAAGTGACGCCATTTTGGGCCTGTGGTTTTTTTCTTTAACAAAATGATGAATTGCCTTGTATAGAATATTGATAAGACCTACACATCAATGAAATATTTATGCATCATTTTATATTTAAAAATAGTGGGTTCAATAATCAAGTAAGGCTGTGATTAATACCTGAAAGTTTGAATAAGGTATCATAATGGAAAACTTACTGTCTTAAAAAATTTTTTTTTAAATTTATTGACTTGAGAGAGAGAAGAAGGGCGAGAGTGAGAGAAACATTGATTTGTTGTTCCACTTATTTATGCATTCTTTGGTCAATTCTTGTATGTACCCTGACAGGACGGAACCCACAACATTGGCCTATGGGGAGGATGCTTTAACCAACTGAGCTACAGGCCAGGGTCAAAGCTCACTTTAAAAACTAGGTGCTTATTTTATGTGACTTTGCTAAATTCACTTTAAAGCGACTTAAAAATCACTTGGACTTTATTTTTTTTGTCAAGTGATCTTTTTCTCCTAGTCCTTTAACATAAGGAAAGGGTACCCTAACCTTGGGTGCAATGATTGCATTCAAGTTTTAGTAACTTCATTCATTCATTCATAAATTGTAGATGTTAGAAAGGTGAGTATTTTGTAAGATCTACCTTTGCCTGTTGGCTTTGATGAAGGGAATGATTCTGAAATGCCTGTTTTCAAGTCACACGCCCTTTCGTGTTTAAAGAGTTAAATAGGGGGTTGGCTTCGGTCCACAGCCCGAGAAGCCCCAGGGGCTGGGGCGCAGGCCTGGCGGTCAACCCTCCGGGTCTGGCCCTGGAGGTGCCCGAGCTGCCGCCTCCGCCCGAGGGGGCGGCGCCTGCCCGGCTTCCCCGGGACCCGCCCAGAGGGCTCGGCGCCCGGCTCCCCGCCCCGCACCCCGGAGGCGCGCGCTAGTTTCTCCTGATGATGCAAACACCCACTTCCCGCATCCACTTCCCACAGAAGACCCGGAGCCGGCGGGAGCCGCACGCGCCGCAGAGCCCCGCGCCATGGGCAACATCCAGAGGAAGATGACGGGCAAAAGCGAGGCCGGCAAGCGGCCGGAGAAGGGCGCGTCGCGGCGGGGTCGCACGCCGGGGGCTGGCGCGGACAAGCGGGGCCGCCCGCGGGCTCCGGCGCCGGCCGGCAGCGCCCAGGGGCACCCAGGCGGCGGGAGGGGCGCCCGAGACCCCGTCGCGGCCCACGCGGCCCCGGAGCCCGGCGCCCCGCCTGCAGCCCCCGCCGCCCCGGCTGGCCCCTCCGGCCTGAAGAGCCAGGGCAACGAGCTCTTCAAAACCGGGCAGTTCGCCGAGGCGGTGCTCAAGTACTCGGCGGCGATAGCGCTGCTGGAGCCGGCAGGTAGGTGAGCTGCGCCCCGCGGACTCCCCGGAACCCTCCGGCCGAGCTTCGTGGGACCTCAAGGGGCCACCGCGAGAGAGGCGCAGGCCACCTCCTGAATGACAGGCGCCTGAGTCTGTGCATTGCTTTCTGGTGACCGAGGGCGGTGCGTGACGGGACCCGAGGGGCAGTCTGTGCCGAGGAGTCCGTAGCATGTGTTCCGGCGGGTCCGTTCGTCCCCTCGCGGGCTTTCCCCATGTGGCCGCTGCGGACACAGCTCCTCCGAGCTCCGCATTATCAGCAGTCTGTGGGACTGCAGTGCCGCGGGAGACCTCGGTCGTCCTGCAGCTTTGGGGAACTTGATTTTGTTCATGGATTGTAACTGTGTTTAATTAAATGTGATTTTAGGAAGTGGAAGTGCAGATGATCTAAGTATCTTATATTCAAATAGAGCAGCATGTTACCTAAAGGAAGGAAACTGCAGTGGCTGCATTCAAGATTGTAACAGGTAAACTGCCGGTTTTCAGGTTTGTCAAGAGATTGTTATCTTTCAAGGTATGGAATGCAGTAGTTACTGTCCTAAGTTTTCTGCATGACTCTAATTTCTTAAGAACTTTTAAGGTATGTTAATTGATTAATACATAAAAATCATAAATTCTTCTCTTTCACAAATAGGAAGACTTGTAGAAGATTGTGCAAACTTTTTTCATTTCCACTACTACCACCTTCATTCATGCTCTTTTATCAATTATTTTTATGAAATCTTCATTGTTGAGAGTATTACAGGTGTCCCCCTCTTCCCCTCTCCCCCCCTCCTCCCCAGTGCCTCCCACCCAGTTCCCATCCCTCCCCAGGCCTTCGCCACCCTATTGGCTGTCTCCATGGGTAATAGATGTAAATTCCTTGGTTAATCTCTTACCATCCCCCCTTGCTTCCCTCTGAGGTTTGTCCATATGTTCCATGTTTCCATGCCTCTGTTTCTGTTTTATTCATCAGTTTATTTTGTTCATTAGATTTCACACATAAGTGATATCATATGATACTTGTCTTTGACTGGCTTATTTCGCTTAGCATAATACTCTCCAGCTCTATCCATGCTGTTGCAAAGGATAAGAGATCCTTCTTTTTTACAGCTGTGTAGTATTCCATTGTATAATTATAGCCCCATTTTTTATCCACTCATCTACTGATGAGCACTTGGACTGTTTCCAGATCTTAGCTATTGTGAATAGCACTGCTATGAACATAGGGGTGCATACATTCTTTCTGATTGGTGTTTCAGGCTTCTTAGGATATATTCCTGGGAGTGGGATCACTGGGTCAAATGGCAGATCAGTTTTTATTTATTTAATTAATTAATTAATTTTTTTTTGTTTGTTTATCCTCACCCGAGGACATTTTTCGATATTTTGTTCAGATAGAGTGGGCGGGAGGGAGAGAGAGAGAAACATTGACATGAAAGGGACGCATCGAGTGGCTGCCACCCGCACGACCCAACCAGGGCCAGAGACAAACTGCAACCGAGGTACGTGCCCTTAGCAGGAACCGAACCCAGGTCTCTCTGAACCGCAGGCTGACGACGCTCTAACCACTGAGCCAAACCGGCCAGGGCAGTTTTAAATTTTTTTTGAGGAAATTTCATACTGTTTTTCATAATGGGCGCACCAGTCTGCAATCCCACCAGCAGTGTACTTTTCTCCACATCCTTGCCAGCACTTGTTGTTTGTTGATCTCTCTGGTGATTAGTGACTTTGAGCATTTTTTCATATGTCTCTTGGCCATTTGTATGTTCTGTTTATGTTCTTTTTATATCAGTCCTAGACTACTGGAGGAAACTTCTCAGTACTCTCTCTGCCTCCTCTAGTCCACTGTGGCATCAGAATAACTTCCTGAAGCACTGTTTTGTTCAGACTGTTTCAGACAGGTGTTCACTGGCTCAGTATAGTTTTCCAGATAGTGACTCTGTCACCATATTGCCCCCAACACAAACTTTCTGCTCCCATTTGGTCCACTGTCTATAATGGGCTCTGTACACCTTTGCTTCTGAAATTTCTACTCAGCTGCTCCTCTTCTCTGCCTGCCTGATGGCCTTCAGCCCTGGTCATCTTCATATCTGGAATGCTTACACGTCACTCTCTCACCTGGAGGTACTTGTGTCATCCACTGCGTTGGATTGTAAACTCTGTGAGGTCAGGAACCATGTTTTATATAGCTTTGCATCCCTCAAGCACAGTAGTCACCCATGGTACTCTGCCAGTTACATGGTGAGATAGAGGAAACACCTTTACATGAATTAAAAGTATTGTTTTTTTTTTTACCATTAATTAATAAGTCTTCCTCAGTAGCCCTTTGAAAAGAAGCTAATATTAGTGAACCTAAAAATTAAGAAGTTGTATGTCCTGGTTTGACCATAACACTTGAATTACTTCTTTTGTCTGGTATAATTATTAATATCACCCCCTTTCACTCTCAGAAGCCCTAGTTTGGACAGTAACTTATGTGGACACCCTGATTATAAGGTGAACAATTAATTTTTTTCATTGGTAGTATCAATATAATGATATGGGTAAAAACTTATTAGTATCTGTGTCTACAGTTGTTTTTTTAATCCTCACCCAAGGATATGTTTATTGATTAAAATTTTTTTTTCTTTATTGATTTTAGAGAGAGAGGAAGGGGGGGGAGAGAGAGAGAGAGAGAGAGAGAGAGAGAGAGAGAGAAACATCAATGAGAGAGAACATCGATTGGCTGCCTCCTGCATGCCCCCCACTGGGGATTTGGCCCACAACCTAGGCATGTGTCCTGACCAGGAATCTAACTGGTAACCTCTTGGTGCATGGGTCCAACGCTCAACCACTGAGCCACACTGGCCGGGCTGTTTATTGATTTTAGAGGGAAACATCAATCAGTTGCCTCCTGTATGGGGATCGAACCTGCAACCTAGATATATGCCCTGAATGAATCAAACCTGCAGCCTTTTGATGTATGGGACCATGCTCCAACCACTGAACCACTCCCACCGGGCTCCAAAGGCAGTTTTTTTGGGTGGCAAAACTTTGTTTCCCTTCAAACCTTTCAGCTTATGTGTCTGTTGCTTATACATTACTCTTCAGACTTGTCTTAGGTATTCCTACAGTGACTGAACTCAGGACTCTGTTTAAAACTTGGGACCCTTACAGATAGGGCTACTGTAAAACAGTGGACTCACTTTGTTTTTAAATGACATCTTTTAAGGTGGCAGACATTTTCTTGTTAAAACTTGTGTTTCATTGTAGATCAAGGAGGAGGTCAAAGATGGGACTCCAGACATGGTGTCCAGGGTGGCTAGAATGGAGGTTTGTCTGGAGGGAGAGATGGCCTGGTAGGAAAGGAGGTGGGTGGTGGCTTAGGTAAGGTGTCCTTAGATAAGTGTTATCTTCTAGGCCTAGGAATTCAGCTCTGTTGGTCAGTAGTGACCTCCATGGAGACCAACCTACCTAGATGTTTTCTTTGATACCTGGCATATGAGTGCCAGCATAAGGGGCATGGGATGATTTTACTCCAAAGCATTGATTCTCAAACTGGTTTTAATGCCAGAGAAACCATGATTTGCTATTGTGAACGTGTTGAAATATGGATGTATTTAAACTTGTGTGATCTAGGAATCATTTATTAGCAGAAATATGACTTTTCACTTTAGAAAGATAGCATACATTTTAAAAGGAGGCCTGTCTTTTAGTTTTTCAGTTAATTATCGTTGCTCCTTGGAGAGTTGTTTTGTGTTCCATGAGCCCTTATTACGAGACAAGTGGTAGCAGGAGTCAAACATGGAAAAAGAAAAACTCATGGGGGAAACCTATGAAATAACTTTAATAGATTTACTTATAAAAATAACTTTTTATACATTTTGGTGAGAAGTATTTAATTTTAAGTATCTAAACTCCTGGGGCCTACTCTGAAGCACTTCCTCAGAGCTGTTTCCCAGGGGCATATCAGGGAATTTCGTTGGAGTGTTTGAGGAGCTCAGGGTCTCCGGGCCCTGCCCCTTTCCTCACCACAGCATCTCCACGTTTCCATGTGAGGCTTCCATGTGAAACATGAATCAGGGTTATGATGCCGAAGCAAAAGTTTAAAGCCTTTTTTCTGGATATTACTTTTTATTCTCATAATTGTTTATCAGTAAAAAATAAAACAACTTCGCCCTGGCCAGTTTGGCTCAGCAGTTAGAACATTGGCCCACAGACTAGAGAGTCATGGGTTCAATTCCTGCCAAGGGCACATGTCTCAGTTGTGGTTCATCTCCAGCCCTGGCCCCGGCCGGGTCATGAGGGAGGCAACCAATTGATGTCTCTCTCTCACATTGATGTTTCTCTCTCTCTCCCCCCCCCTCCTATCTCCCTTCCACTCTATCTAAAGATAAATGGAAAAAATATCCTCAGGTGAGGATTAAAAAATAAGTAAAACAACTTCACTTTTCCCGTCTGTCAGGGAAACTTTTTGGCTTATCTGAACCACACCAAAAATCTTTCAGTGACTTTCCATTGAAGATATTTTGATAGACTTAGTACAAATGAATGATGTCTAATAATTCTCTGCTTTTGCTCATCTTTGCTAATCTCTGAAGGACTTGAAATTAGGTGACTGTAGGGTCTTGACTGTGTAAACATGAATGTGTAAGCGCTTTTGTATAAGCTCGGTTTAAAAGTTCTCTGTGTTTATTTTCCTGAATAGATACTTTTCTTCTTCTTTTTTTCCTTTGTGGAATTTCCATTTATAAGCTTATATTTATTTTCAGGATTGTGGTTAAAGAGAAAAAACCTTACATTTACAAGGCTGGGGAGTGCTAAAAATTAACAACTGCATGCTACACAATTTTTGATTCCAAGTCTACCTCAGGTTTATCTTGAGTGGATAAATAGTGTCTTGGGTTTTGGAAGTCTGGTGAAATGGGGTAGTCATGTGGCTGTTCATGTCATTAATATCCCCTGGCATTATAAACTAAGCTGGATTTGAGGCCATGGTGCAGGTGATAGATCCTGGTGCCCCAAGGTCTGTTTTCTAGTGTTTAAGTGTTTTTACTTGATTTTAAATTTACTTTTAAATAACTTTTACAGATTACAAAAGTAACATACCTATTATAGAAAAAAATTACACCCCCTCCCCCCCATCTTAACACCTAGGCAGAGCAAAATTGGTTATTTTTCTAGTAGAACAATTTCTGTGGTCCAGAGTTGAGGAGCACACCCCCACATGAGCACTTGAGTGTCTACACTATGGAGAATTGCGAAGGAGTTCGAGTGACAGATGACTTTGAGTTCTTTTATTTGTAGTGTTTTTTGTTTTTGTATGTGTTTCTGGTAGAAAGAGTGTAGGCTCAGAAGAGTACATGTTGTGGCCTTGGTAATGATCTAGGTGCTGGGAATACCCTTGCCTTCCTGAAGCTTAAATGCAGAACTGACGCAGGCAGGTTGCTCCAAGTGTCTCTTCATTTCCCCACCTGAAAAATGAACATATTAACATTTACCTTGTAGGCTTTTTGTGAGATTAGATGAGAAAGTTTACAGTGACGAGCATGTAGCCGGTGTTCAATCAGAGCTGCCTCCTTGCCAGATCACTGTAAACAGGAATAGATAGCAGATCTCGAAGTCTGTTGGAAAGAAAAGTAAAGCAGCCCTTGCTCAGGCTTCCCCTGAAGCAAGTGAACTATCTGATATATGAATTTCTTGTAGCATAAGGGTTAACCAGAATAGCAAACCTGCAATAACCAATGTGGACAACCTGGTGCATACTTGTTAGTGTGTTATATAGAAAGTAGGCTCTTCATAGTATCTCTGCATGGAGTACTTTACAGTTGCAGTTAATTTTATTAAAACTAAGTACCATAGTTTCCATTCATAAATACAATCTTGATTGTGTGCTGTATTTCAGAATATAATGAAGTACGTTAAATAGTGAAGTAGCTTTAAACAGTTACTTCAAACAAAACCAAGGAACATAACCTTGAAAAACATCTCTGGTGATATTGAAAATACTTCATAGACAAGTGCAAGATGAAAATTCATGACTTAAAGAAATCATTGGCCCTGGCCGGTTTGGCTCAGCGGTTGGAGTGTCGGCCTGCGGTACAGAGAGACTCGGGTTCGGTTCCCGCTAAGGGCACGTACCTCGGTTGCAGTTTGTCCCCGGCCCTGGTTGGTCGTGCGGGTGGCAGCCACTCGATGTGTCCCTTTCACATCGATGTTTCCCTCTCTCTCTCTTCCTCTCTCTCCCTCCCGCTCTATCTGAACAAAAAATGGAAAAATGTCCTCGAGTGAGGATAAAAAAAATTAAAAAAAAAAGAAATCATTGTATGCTTCTTTATTACCTCTGGTATTTTTGAAGCCCTTTGGAGGCAGGTGAATCCTACTAAACTGTATTAAGTTTTAGAGAGCTAATTTTTAAACAGTAATACAAGTTTTTGTGGTTTTATACTAATGTGCCTTATTAAATACATAAGTGCAAATAAAAATTTCCCTTTTAATCCCTCAGTAACAAGAATCTGTTGAAAGCCTGCTCTGTGCCTGGTGTCATGATGGGCTCTATTAGGCTTTAGGGAGGGTGAGGGTGTGTTGGGGGTTAGGGTGGGAGAATGGGGGTGAGGGGATAGCGGGGTGAGGGGAGAGGAGGATGTGGGTTGAGGCATACTGCCTGCTGCCAGGGAGTTCAGTCTCAGGGGGGAAGGAGTAAAGAAATGCCAGAGTGCTTTGGTACTGGTTTCAAAACAAGGAAGTAACCACAGATTTGATTGCTACTCAGGGTTTGTGTTCCTGGTATGTTGCCAGGTCCTCGATGAAATGCTAGGTAGGTATGTATTTGAGTTCAGTACTACAGTATGCATTCAGTTAGTAATAAGTTAGAGTAATTTTCCAAACAAATGACATGTAATATTTTTGTCTTCTTTAGGGCTCTGGAACTTCACCCATTCTCAGTTAAACCTCTTCTCCGACGAGCAATGGCCTATGAAACTTTAGAGCAGTATCAGAAAGCCTATGTGGATTATAAAACAGTGTTGCAAATAGACTGCGGAATCCAGATAGCGAATGACAGTATTAACAGGTAACCTGATCTGAGGCAGCTACCTCGGAGGTCTAGATGTTTTATAACGGAATTCGATTTTTTTCTTTCCCTCCTCCAAGAATGGTGTCAAAGTGTATACATGTTCTGTTATTTACTTTACATGAATGATTGCCTTCTTTCACTCCATCTAAACCAAATGATTCTCTAACTATCCCATAATACATTCTGAGTTGTCCTTCAATACCTATATATTTGTTTCCCAGCCCATTTATTATTAAGTGATTATTCTATTCTTCTAAAAAAATGTATATTGTTAATAGTATTACAGATGTCCCCCATTTTCACCCCCTTCCCCACCTGCCACCCAGCCCCTGTCCCACCCCAGGCCATCACTACACTATTGTCTGTGTCCATGAGCTATGCATATATGCATATCAGTTTTTTGGTTACTCTCTTCCCATCTCCCAAAGAGATCTATTTTGTTTGTCAGTTTATTTTGTTCATTAGCTTCCACATATAAGTGAGATCATGTGATATTTGTTTTTCTCTGATGGGCTTATTTTGTGTAGCATAATAACCTCCAGGTCCATCCATTCTGTTGCAAAGGCTAAGAGTTCCTTTTTGATGGCCACATAGTATTCCACTGTGTAAATTTACCACCACTTTTTTATCCACTCATCTACTGATGGGCAGGCACTTGGGCTGTTTCCAGATCTTAGATATTGTCAACAGCACTGCTATGAATATAGAGGTGTATATATTCTTTCTGATTGATGTTTCAGGATTCTTAGGATATATTCCTAGAAGTGAGATCACTGAGTCAAATGGCAGTTCCATTTTTAATTTTTTGAGGAGACTCCATACTGTTTTCAATAGTGGCTGCACCAGTCTGCATTCCCACCAGCAGTGTACTAGGGTACCCTTTTCTCCACATACTCACCTGAATTTGTTGTGTGTTGATTTATTGATGGTAGCCATTCTGGCAGGTATGACATGATACCTCATTGTAGTTTTAATTTGCATCTCTCTCATGATTAGTGATGACAAGCATATTTTTCAAGTCTATCTATATGTCCTCTTTGGAGAAAAGTCTATTCAGGTCCTTTGCCAATTTTTTAATTGGATTGTTTGTCTTCCTTTTGTTAAGTTGTATGAGTTCTTTCTATATTTTGGAAATTAACCCCTTATCAGATGTATCATTGGCAAATATGTTGTCTCATAAAGTGGGTTCCCTTTTCATTTTGATGATGGTTTCTTTTGCTGTGCAGAAGTTTTTAGTTTGATGTAGTCCCATTTGTTTATTTTTTCCTTAATTCCTCTTGCCGTAGGAGATGTATCTGTGAAAATTCTGCTATGTGAGATGTCTGAGATTTTACTGCCTATGTTTTCTTCTAGGACTTGTATGGTTTTACAACTTACATTGAATTTATTCTTGTATATGGTGTAAGTTGGTGGTCTAGTTTTATTTTTTTACATGTACCTGGCCAATTTTCCCAGCACCATTTATTGAAGAGATGGTCTTTCCTCCATTGTATGCTTTTGCCTCCTTTGTCAAATATTAATTGACCATAATGTCTTAGGTTGATTTCTGGTTTCTCTGTGTTTTTTTTCCCCATGGATTTATATGTCTGCTCTTGTGCCAGTACCAGGCTGTTTTGATTACAGTAGAAATTGTGCCGAATCTATAGATTGCTTTGGGTAGTATGAACATTTTAATGATGTTAATTCTTCCAATCCATGAACATAGTATATGCTTCCACTTGTTTGTATCTTCCTCTGCTTCTTTTTTCCATGTCCTATAGTTTTCTGAGTACAGGTCTTTTACACATTTATTTTATTTTATTTTACTTTTTTTCCTTTATTGATTTTAGAGGCAGAGGAAGGGAGAGGGAGAGAATGATAGAAACATCGATGAGTGAGAACATTGATTGGCTACCTCCTGCATGCCCCCCACTGGGGATTTGGCCTATAACCTGGACATGTGCCCTGACCGGGAATCAAACTGGCGACCTCTTGGTGCATGGGTAGACACTCAACCACTGAGCCACACTGGCCGGGCTACACATTTATTTTTTATTATTTTGTTAATCCTCACCTGAGGATATTTTTTCATTGAATTTTAGAGTGAGTAGAAGGGAGGGAAGGTGGGAGAGAAAGAGAGAGAGAAAGGAACATTGATGTGAGGGAGACACATTGGTTGCCTTCCACACGACCCTGACTGGGGCTGGGGCTCAAACCTGAAACTCAGGAACGTGTCCTTGACTGGAATTGAACCCACAACCCTTTGGCCAGTGCTCTAACCGCTGAGCATACTGGTCAGGGCTGACTCATTCATTTTTTAATAACATGCTATTTAGCCTCTATGTCTTAGAATGTTTTTAAGTGTTTTTTTTTTTTTAATCCTCACCCGAGGACATTTTTGCATTTATCTTCAGGTAGAGTGGAAGGGGGAGAGGAAGGAAGAGAGAGACAGAAACATCAACGTGAGAGAGAGACATCAACTGGTCACCACCCACACAACCCCATCTAGGGTCGGGGACAAACTGCAACTGGGGCACGTGCCCCTAGTGGGAACCGAACTTGGGTCTCTCTGGTCCGCAGGCCGACGTTCCAACTGCTGAACCAAACCGGCCAGGGTTTAAGTGTTTTTATTGTAGTTGAGAATGTCCCATGTGCACTTGAGATGAATGTATATTCTGAAGGTTTGCAATGAAATGTTCTTTAAATGTCAATTAAATCCATGTGAACTGGTGTGTCATTTAAGCTCTCTGTTTTCTTGTTGATTTTTTTTGTCTGGGAGATCTATCTATCCAGTGATGTCAATGGGGTGTTAAAGTCCCCTATTATGACTGTATTGCTGACAATCTCTTCCTTAAAGCCCTCCAAGAGTATTTTTGTATATTTAGATGTTCCTATATTGGGTGCAGATATTTTTACCAAGGTTATATCCTATTGTTGGATCATTCCTTTTAGTAGTGACTTTCTTTGTCTCTTGTTATGGCCTTTATTTTGAAGTATATTTTGTCAGAAAAAAGTATTGCTACCCTGCTTTTTTTTTTTTTTTCTTTTCATTTCTAATTGCATGGAAAGATTTTTCCATCCCTTCACTCTCATCCTGTATGAGTCTTTTGTTATAAGTTATGAGGTGGGTCTCTTGTAGACAACATATATATGGGTCATGTTTTCTTATCCAGTCAGCTACCCTAGGTCTTTTTATTGAACATTTAATCCATTACATTTAAGGTTATTATTGCTAGGTACTTACTTATTGCCATTTTTATTCTTTATGCCTAAGTTTTCCTCTATTTCTTCTTTTTCTTACAGCAGTCCTGTAACATTTCTTGCATTGTAGATTTGGTGGCAATAAACTCCTTTAGCCTTTTTTTTTTTTTTCTTCTGGGAAGCTCTTTATTTCACCTTCAATTTTGAATAATAGCCTTGCTGGATAGAGCCATCTTGATTTTAGATCCTTGCTTTTCATTATTTAGAATACTCATGCTATTCATCCCTTCTGGCCTGTAGTGTTTCTGTGAGATATTAGCTGACATCCTTATGGGAGCTCCCTTATAGGTAACTGACTGTCTCTCTTTTGCTGCCCTTAAGATTCTCTCTTTATCTTTGAAGTTTGCCATTTTAATTATGATGTGTCTTGGTGTGAGAATCTTTGGGTTCATCTTGATTGGGACTCTTTGTGCTTCCTGAACTTGTGTGACTTTTTCCTTCACCAGGTTAGGGAAGTTTTCTGTCATTATTTTTTGAAACAAATTCTCTATTTCTTGTTCACTTTCTTCTATCTCTGGTACCACCTGTGATGCAGATGTGGTACCGTTTCATGTTGTCCCAGTGTTCCCTTAAATGTCCTCATGCTTTTTAACATTTCTTTTTGCTGTTCTGCTTAATTTTTTTCTATCTTGTTTTCTAATTTGTAATTCAATCCATTGCTTCTTCTAACCTACTGTTAATTCCTTCCAGTGTGTTCTTTTTTTCAGCTATGTCATTCTTTGTTTCCAGCTGGTTATTTTTCATGGTTTCTGTATCCTTTTTCATGCTACTGAGCAGTCTAAAAGCCATTACTTTATATTCTGTTTCTGATAAGTTGCTTGCCTACATTTTATTTAACTCTCTTTCTGGAGATTCCTCCTGTTTTTTCATTTGGAGCCTGTTTCTTTCTTTCTCCATTTTTGCTGTTACTTTCTGTTTATTTTTTTGTATTGGAAAAGACTGCTGTGCCTTCCCATCTTGGTGAAGTGGTCTTCTTGTGGCACCCAGTGGTGGAGTCTCCTTAATCTGAGCTGGGTGCTTTCACAATGTTTCTTGTGTGGGTTTTGTAGGCCCTCCTGTTGAATTTGGGTCTTGATTGCTTTTTTCCTGTTCATGGGTTGGCTCAGGCTTGCTGACTGTGAGGCTCAAACCCAACTACATTTTGCCAGCTGTTATAGAAGTGCTGACAGGTCAAACCAAGACAAAAAACGACCGAACTGAAAACAATACAAAAAAAAAAAAAAAAACCAACGATGAAAACAACAACAACAAGAAAGCCAAAAAAAGAAAAAGAAAAAAAATGAATACTAAAGACAGGAGACCAAAACAATTAGAGGAGAAAAAAAAAAGAACCAAAACACAGGCTATGAAATAAGGAAGAGAAACAGACTAGAATAAGAATAAAAATGAGAAGGAAAAATAATAATTTTAAAAAGTAATAATAAATGAAAATACAGAATAGGAGAAGGAAATCGGGAAAAGAAAAAATAAAATGAGAAAAAATAAAAAAGAGAAAGAGAAAAAAGAGTAGAATAAAAGGAAAGAGAGAAAATAAGAGATATGAAGGAGAAAAGAGAAGAAAGAAAAAATAATTTTTGGATCTGCTGTTTGTGGAGCTTGCTGGATTTTGCTCTGGTGTTGTTGAATCTGGCCTCTTGGTGTGTTGGTTCCAGACCTTCTGGAAGGTTCTCATGTTCAATCCAAGAGAACTGTCCCTGTCTGGCCCTGGGCAACCTGACTGAAGCACAGCACGGTGGAGCCCCAAGTAGTCTGGCGGG